GTGTGTGTGTGTGCATGCCTTGGTATGAAGGTGTGGCTGTCACTAGAGGACAACTTTGTTGAGTTAGTTTTCACATTCCATCTTTACTTGTGTTTGGGGAATAACCGAATTTAGGTTTTCTGGGTTATCTGGCTTGTGTGGCAAGCACTTTTACTTGCTGAGCCATCTTGAGGCTCCCCCTCCAGTCTTTTAAGTATGTCACATGGTTGAAAGCTCAAAATTAGTAATAAAAAGCATGCAAAAATCAGAGAAAGACATTCTAATGTAGTCTAATATAATCTAGCAGACATGCAATTAAAACCAAAAATTCAAAATAATAATTTTGCCTTTATAGCAGATATCATTTAGTTTTCTAAGCTCTTTGCATAATGATACTCTACTATCCTATAATTGAGATTTATCAGCCTACATATAAGCTGAAAGGTCTGCATAAAAAGTTAAGCTATAGATATGTATGACTTAAAACTAAGATTCAGTTCTGACAGTCACAAAACACTGAAGTCATGATATCTGTTAAGAGTCAGTGCAAAAAATATCAGTCCTCTTAAGGAGAAGGATTAGAAGGGACTCATGCTTTCTAAAAGAAATCTAGAGTCCCCTAGCCATTATCTATCAAACAAATAAAAATCAATAGGCAATGAAAGAAATTAACCAGATTCATTATGTGCAAGATTGACATAATTGGGGGGGGGATTGACATAATTGGTAGCTATTGTTTGGTAAATAAGTTTGTTTACTAAGGCCCATCATTTTCCAGCCATCACCACCAATGCAAACATTTATGGACCCCATGATATCACAATGGCAGTCAGACCATCATTCTTTCAGGCTGCCTCAGTACATACTGCCACGGAGCACTGAAGAGTCAGGCTAGAGAAGCTAGTGACATCCTCCCACTTTTGTCACTGCCCAGGATCATTAGGAATTCTGAACTGATGAATTGCTGAAAGCCCACGTTTGAAACAGTGTTCAGTTAGAAGAGCAACTGCTGAAAAGATTATCTTAATATGGGCTTTGGAATTAATCATGTGTAATAGTCAGAAGCTTTCATCATAAATTTAACCACACTTTAGCAAGTCTGAATAGAGCTCAAAGTTTTCCTCTTTGCTTGTTTAAAGAAAACATGCACCCAAGTCACTTGTCCTTTAATCTGCAGCTCAGAATTGCAGACTCCAGCCATCTCTCAAAATCTGGACTCACAAAACAAAGGATAAAAAATGTTAATTTTCAGTGAGTAAATGTGAATTCTAGATGTGTAAGCAAGCTAATCAAGAGCCATTTAAACACACACAGGTAAGATTTCCAGAGCAAACTGCTGTCTGGGCAGGAGACAGTGAAGTGAGAGATCAACAGCCATTATCTTGCACGTCTACATAGTATCTACCAGGGCCCACATGCTTGCTCTGCACTTTCAGTAGTGGGACACATCTGGCCACAGAGAATGTTATGCCTAATTGCTACTTACAGAAGTTAGGATGGGAAACAGTGGCTATATTAAGAAAAATACTTCAGAAATGATTTCATTTTCTCTTTTTTTATATTTTATTTTGTTTTTTAATTTTTAAATTTTATTTATTTTTATTTATTTTTGGTCTTTTTGCTGAGTCATTTCTTACCCTCAGCCAAGTCTTTTTCCTTTAACAATGGTGAATAACCAGTCTCCTACAAAGGCATACACATATAAGAGTCAGGCAGAGCTGAGTGTGGTAGAATATACCTACAATCCCAGAACTCAGGAGGCAGAGGCAGGAGGAGGATCACATAGAGGGGCCAGCCTAAGCTGCATGAGACGGGCGGGGAGCGGGGGGGCGCTGGGTGTGGTGACACAGTTCTTTAACCCCAGCACTTGGGACGTAAAAGCGGGTAGATCTCTGTGAGTTCAAGGCCCAGTCTAGAGTGAGTTCCAAGACAGCCAGAGCTAAAAAAAAAGATTCAGGGGAGCCTATTTCCTTTTCCCCATTTTTTCTTTTTTCTTTTGGAGACAGGCTCTTATTATATAGGCTGGCCTGGAACTATGTAGTTGTGGCAGGCCACAACTCCCAATTCTCTGCCACAGCGCAAGTGCTGGGATTACAAATATGCATTCTACACAGGTTCTGGGAGTAGCTCATTTCTTGTCCCTATAAATTTTTCCTTTTGTAAGTTTCTTCTCTCTAAAGACAAGACTGCTTTTTTAGAAACCTAGAATGAGGGGCTGGAGAGATGGCTCAGTGGTTAAGAACACTAGTTGTTCTTGCAGAAGACCCAGGTTCGGATCCCAGCACCCACATTGCCAGCTAACAACTGTCTGCAACTCCCAGGGGATCTGACAGCCTTTCTGTCTTCCACGGGCATTGTACAACATGGGTGCACTTACCTACATGCAGTCAATACATGCATACACATAAAAATAATAAATAAAACATTAAAAAAAAAAGAAACAGAATGAATGAATGAGGACATAGAATTTCCTGGTCTGCTCTGCATTATCCTTATTATTATTATTTTTGTGAGACAGGGTCTCCCTGCTGTCATAGCTGTCCCAGAACCCACTATTGTAGACTAGGCTGGCTTCAGTCTTACAGAGATCCGCCTGCCTCTGCCTCCTCAGTGCTGGGATAAAAGGGGTGCATTACCACACCCACCTCTATATCACTCTTAATTGTCCCCTTTGTCAAGGAAAAGAGCTTTGTACTGATAGAGGGAAGCAGATACATGTTTCCTGACTGCAACACCAATACCAAGTGTCTCTGATTAGTTTGTATCACTGGGTACCTACCTCATTCAAAAGTTTCCTTTTTTTAATAGACTGGATCACCCCTAAAGAGAACACAGAAAAGACAGGTCACACAGACAGAACAGTATGCTCCTTTTGTGGAGGTGGGGAGTTCAGTGACTCACAACAGAGAACAGGTAAAAGGTTCCTTCCCTCTGAAGTGACAGCTCTTTAATAAGGCTTGTGGCAGAAATTTCCTTCTGGAGACAGTTGATGCTTAATTTAAACATTATAAAAGTGCCTGCTGCACATGGATTCCTGCCTACTATTAAATAAATCCCTACTTCAGACACTAGGAGATTAGGTCCTGTTAGTTATAAAAGAAATCCATTTTCTCATATCACCAGTTTATCTGAAGAAAGCAATAAGCATTAACGCTAGTTCTGTGTTGCTATTATAGACCTTTTAGTAATCCAGACTTAGCATCAGCAAAAACCTCAGGTGTTAAAATGTTAGGCGTAAAAATGCAATTCTGAGGTATTGGGGAGAGCAGAGAAACTGTATTGTACTTACAGAGATAGCTAACTATCCATTTTCCTCTGGCAATTCCCATAAAATATTTCAGTGTCCGTTCACACACAAACTCAGCATCTGCAGAATGAAAAGCATCCAAAGGATTAGAAAGAAACAAAGTAGGAGGTGCTGCCCTAAGAAGCTGGAGCCCCAGCTCTTGCTCTCAAGATCAGTCCAGATTGATGCTTCTCACACCCCAAGAGGTAAAGTCAGAAGGTGGTAGCACCACTAATTGAAAATAGCAGGTGTGGGTCTTTGGAAGCCTGGAAGAGGCAGGCAGGCACAGGACCAGAGGAATTGCATGCCTCCCTTTGCAATGGCCAGGCTAGCTAAAGAGCCTAATCCTATGTTTAAGAAATTAGCCCTGGGCTGGATGTGGTGGCACACGCCTTTAATCCCAGCACCTGGGAGGCAGAGGCAGACGGATCTCTATGAGTTCAAGGCCAGCCTGGTCTACATAATGAGTTCCAGGACAGTTGGGGCGACAGAGAGACCCTGTTTCAAAAAGACCCCCCCCCAAAAAAAAAAAAACGAAATTAGCCCTGTCTGTAGTAGTGGTTAATATGGATGGAGATCCATTTTTACCAGATGGCAACATGTGTGAAGAGAAGAAAAGTGTCAAAGTCCTAAATTTGGAAAAAATAAAATAAAATAAAATAAAGAAATCCTAAATCAGACAAGCCAGTGTGACAAAATTCCACCCCTGGAATTTCCACCTAGAGAATCCTAACCCTGTAGTATTCCCAAGAGAGGCGTGGGGACATAGTCTTTTCATGGTACTTCTCTTTCCTATGTATTCAATAAGGAGTAGCTGAAGATTCACTTCTGTTTATCTCCTAGTGTTTCAAAGGCCTTTTGATGAACTAAGCAAACTGAGAAAAAGACCATTTAAACAGGAGAAATGTATTTAAATTCCAAACACAGCAGGCCATCTGCAAGTGGCCATTCTTCCTCACAGAATTCCTCATAATTTTTGAAGCTTTTTGTTTAAATGCTACAAAAGCTGATTTTAGTTCAAAAGCAACAAATGTTGTATTGCCTTTGAGTTTAACGAGTGAATTACTTTAGACTTAATTTGCATTTTAAAGCTCTTTTCACCTTTATCAACTTTGATCTAAACCTGTAACTTAAAATATATTAAAATTTAATGATATTCATCTCTAAAGTAGTATTTATCTTGCAGTAGTACTTTGTTCTGGCCATGGAGTCCAATGAGCATTACCCTTTCACTCTATGGCAGACTTTTCATGCACCAGAAACCTAGTTCTTAGAGGTTCTAAAATTATTTATTTTTTATGTGTATGAGTGTTTTGCCTGCATGTGTATAAGTACACTCCTGCGTGCAAGTCTGAGGCGGTCCCCTGGAACTGGAATTACTGATGATTGTTAGTCACCATGTGGGTGCTGGGAACCGAGTGCAGGTCCTCTGGAAGAGCAGTCAATGCTCTTCACTGCTGAGCCATCTTTCCAGCCCCCAGTCTCCAGATTGTGAGTGAAGATTTGCTTCCATCCTTGTCTCTTCTTTGCCTTACTTGTTCTTTCAGGATTTGGTTTCTGTTCTACATCCACTGGGGTCCAGCAGACAGACAGAAAGTGGTTCTGTATTCTGGTTTGCCACTTCCCAAATCTCTCTTTCTCTTTTTTTGAGAGAGGGTCTTGCCAGGTGGCCTGGAACTCATTATGTAGACCAGGCTGGCCTTGATCTTACAGAGATCCACCTGCCTCTGCCTCCCAAATTCTGGGATTAAAGGTGGGCACCACCACACCTGTCACTTCCCAAATCTTAATTCAAAACACAAGAAGTTTAAGAAGTAGCAAAACTGTTGGCTTTATAAAGTAATAGCTAAGTGACTACTGGAAGACTTCATCCATGACATGCTTAACAAAAATAAGTTCAGTATCCTTATCGGAAAGGCTGGCCCCAGAAATATTTTGGGGAAGGTTTTGGATTTTGTAATATTTACATATATATGAGATATCCTTCATGTGTAACATGAAATACATTTTTTTCTGTTTCTTTTTTTTTTTCAGAGCTGAGGACCGAACCCAGGGCAAGTGCTCTACCACTGAGCTAAATGCCAAACCCTGTTTCATTTTTTTTTAAGACAAAAATCTTGCTACATAGCCTAGACTGGTCTTGAACTTGTGATCTTCTTGCCTCAGTCTCTTGAGTACTGGGATCATAGGTATGTATCATCACAGCCATATACACAGTTTGAAGGTAATTTTATATTTATGGTGCTAGAGACAGAACCTACAGCCTTGTTAACGCCAGCTAAACAGTACTCTTCCACTGAGTTTCACCCAACCCCTTGAAAGCAATTTTAAACAGTATGTTTCACATGTCTACATTTTGACTACGACCTGTCACATGAGGCTAGGTGTAGAATTTTCCACTTGTGATGTTATGCCCATATTCAAACAGCTGCAGATTTTAGATTTTTGGGTTACAGGTGCTCAACTTAATTTATGCCGTTCTCCATGTGGTTATAAAGTAAATGCAATATATTCTGTGAAGGTTCTTGGTATACCTGTTTTTATAATGACATGAGTAGTCTCCTCAGTTATTACATCAGATAAGGTGACGTGGTATTTTTCGGCAAACTTTTGCACAATCATCTGAAATCAAATCAAACATTGCATTATGATTAAATTATCTCTAGTACACGACTTAGAGTATCAGTTAACCTAGCTTTGAGTCTCCATTCTTAAAAGGGAACATTAAAAATCAGAGACACTTTAATCCCAGCACTTGGGAGGCAGAAGCAGGCGGATCTCTGTGAGTTCAAGGCCAGCCTGGTCTACATAGTAAGTTCCAGGACAGCTGGGGCTATAGGGAGACCCTGTCTCAAAAAGACCAAAAAAAAAAATTATATTACACTAG